TTAATAGTACTACTAGGAAAAAAAATCTCCCCAGGCACATTGTATATAATTTTCCCCTACAAAAGCAGCTTTAAATATGGTTTCTGTTCACAGTCGTTACTGTGAACAGAACGATTGTTTCAGGTGCCTTATTCAGAATACAAACAGTCCATGATTTAAAAGAGAGCCAAGTTACATTTCCAACTTTTCTTTTGCCTGAAATTTAAAAAAAAAAACTGAAAAGGTTTTGTTTCTTGAGGAATATAATTATTATTTTCTTGGCAATTACTCATCCTTACTGCACAGATGTCATTTTCTTCTCAGCTTTTCTGATAAAGATGGCATTATTGAAGTTTTCTTAGTGTTGTGAATTGTTTGCATGAATCTGCCTGGAGTATTAATGACAAATGACAACTTTGGGTATTTACTATTTACCATTTACCATTAGAAGAAAAGCTATAGGCCTTTACTTGGCCAAGGCCAAGAAAAACTAAGCATACATAGAAAGGGCTAAAAGAAACATGAAGTATTCACCCAGATACATTAAACAAATGACAGTTTACAAAACCTATTATTTCAGAAGGGTTTGTGTAGGTAGGTCTTTAAGCAAATATGATTTGATAACAAAAATTACATGGTTCTACATAACAGCTGTCTGTGCCTCCAAATAATGTTGGAAGCAAGCAGAATTTCATCTGGGTTGGATCTAGGCTTCTAAGAAGTATATTTTTCATACCTTTAATGTGCATTGGGGCTAAGAAAATGTTCCCCTCAGTTGTTGGTGAACTCTAATTCTAAGGTCCTTCACCAATGGTCATCTTTGCTAAGGGTATGGAAGTTGCAATAAGGTTGCATCTTGAGGGTTGCTGATTTATCAGCCCAAGTTAACATTTCTTTTATAATTTGAAAATTATATAATTTGTTATGGGGCTCACGTACCGTAATTTTACTTTTCAGTTAAAAAATGAAAATAGCTGAGGTGGTCGCTGTTTCTGATATCCATTCTCTCTCTTTCTCTTTCTTCATTTATACGTAGCACAAATTACCTGACAAAACTTTGCAAAGCTTACATGACCTGAAAAGTCTTGTTGGCTGATAGCAATGCTACCTGATAATCATATGACGGCTCTACCATTGTTACTAAAAAATAATAAATCAAATTTTGCATAAGGCCAAATGAAATCTACAAAGTAAAAGTGCATGTGTAACCTTTAAATTTCTTCCATACCACAAGGACACAAGCAGAAGATTACAAAAATTTTGAGGTACCTGCCCTGCAGCAGTACAGTAGAAAGAGTATTGCCATCTGCCTTTGTAAATGTCCATTGATAGTTGGAAAAGGCCTATAACTTTTGCATCAAATATAATCGGGATCCTTGAGAAAATATATAGCTGGTATAGATTGAACTGCAACTGTAGATTTAGGAATCATTGTGTGATTTTTGACCTTGTCTCTGTTTAATGCACAGTTGGGAATAGTCACAAGATGTTAGTTTCTAGATCAAGATCTTTTTCCAGCTGGATTAAAAATTACTATTCAGGTGAGATGGGGCAACCTAGATACAGTCAAGTTTATTCTGCTATCTAAACTCTGTTTTATAACCTGGACCTTAAGGCTGGTGTTAGCAACACACTTGGCAGTGACAAATACAGTTCTAGGAAACCTAGAAGTCAGTCATTTTATTTTGGTCATTGGCCAGTAAAACGAAACAAAAGGCTGACAATTGATTAAAGTAAAATAAGCTTTAAATCATATCACAGTAGAAGTGAAAATTGTAAGTTAAACATTTAAGAGTCTGGGACTGTAAAATGTACATATAATTTACGTATGACAACAAATGACAAAACAATAAAATTACTAATTTGAAATATATAGATTATAATTATAATACTAAAAGCTATGGAAAAGTTGTAATTAATATTATTTCTTGAAAAATGTAGTAATTAATATATGAGGAAGGATAATGCATAAAAAGTGATTATGGTTTCCAAACTAAGAGTCCAATTATAGTGACTATTTATGTTGATAAAACAATTCTGGCAGCTAATTAACAGAAATAAGATTCAGTTGAGAGTAAGGACATGAAACATTAATAAACAGTGGAGACTAAATAGCTCCATTTGAAATGTTTCCAAACAGAAAATACCTAGGAGATACTTGAAAAGAAATTGTGGCGAATTGTACAAACTACGGAATAGTGCTTAACTGTAATTATTGTAGTAGAAGCAGATTGGTCTGATAGTAGCAACTTGAGATGGAAGGAATCAGAGCGGCCAGAATATTTGGTGATGAGTGAAAATAGTAATTCCTAGCATCTATGGAGATTCTCAGTCATCCATGTCATGGTTGTCCCAAAAGTGCTTTTTTCAAGAGGCAACTGGACATTCTTTGTTTTTTTTTCTTGAAGCTGTTTCGCTTCTCATCTAAGAAGCTTCTTGGATGAGAAGCAAAGTATTTTCAAGGAAAAAGAAAGAAAGTCCAGTTGCCTCTTGAAAAAACACCTTTGGGACAGTAATTCCTTTGGGACAGTAATTCATGGCGAGTGTCATTATAGAAGAAGCAATACAATATAACATATTCCAACATTTTAATTGCTTCTCCACTGCCCAACAGATGATGGCTGTCCCTGAGAAACTATTAGGTTTTAATTTTTCAAGTATTTCCCTACACCAGAGATACTGGAAGTTGTCTATCATAATTAAAAGGGCCAAACCAGCTGATTTTTGAAAACCAATTGGACAACCATTTGTCTGAAATGGTATAGGGCTTAGACTAGAAGATCTCCAAGGTCCCTTCTAACTGTGTTATTCTGGAAAAAAGTTTAGGCCAAGAGGAAAGGATGTATATCCAAGTGAAAGTTTCTATTTTAAGTAGGCCAGTTTCATGGAAATGTATGACACTTGGAATGCAGCAGGATGCTTGGGAGATAGAGCTCAAGCACTTAGACTGAACACTTTCAACGGGAAGAAATGATCTGTAAGGCCTTCCAGTTGGTCTCCAAAAGGAGGTTTCTTGTTGAGAAGGCTTTAAGCACTATAGGTATATTCTGAGCTCCTTTGGAGAAGTAGATAGAAAGATTGTAGAGGTACAGTTGTTTTTTGTACCTTTAAGCCAATGTAATTGGCATGGGATTTGCATTTACTCTTGGCATGGAAAACAATCCCTAGGTCAGGGGTAGGAAACCTTGGCTCTTTTATGACTCATGGACTTCAACTCCCAGAATTCCTGAGCCAGCCTGGCTCAGGAATTCTGGCAGTTGAAGTCCACGAGCCGTAAAAGAGCCAAGGTTGTCTACCCCTGACCGAGGTATTTGAAGGTCTTCACTTGTTCAGTTGGTTGTTTGGCGACTAGACATGTGCCTTAGGGCTAGATTGTTCAATCTCAAGTGAAGTTACTACTAATAAAAGAGAATATTTGTAGCTCAGGGTTGAAATCAGGAGTCCCTGGTGCTCTCTGAGCTTGGTTATTTTCTTGAAGATGTTTCATAACCAAACTAGGTAACATCATCAGTTACTACTCTGTATGAGCCAAGTGTTATCCCAATAAAAATTGTACTAGAGCCTTTGTCTCAAAAAGTTTAAAATACAGCCATCATCATCATCATTAGGTCCTGTGCAGAGCACATTGAGCAGCAAGTGTTTTCCAGCAATTTTAATCATTCGCAGCATCTTCGGCATTGCCCCGAGAGACATTTATCATCTTAAGATCTTCCTTAAGTGTTTGGCCTCATTTTTCCTTTCCTCCAAGAGGTATCCAATATACAGTAGTGCAGGTTTTGGATGTCGGTCTTTAGGCATACATAAGATATGACCAACAAGCCACATTCGATGTTCATTCACAGTTCTCGATAGGTGTTCTAAATCTGATCTTTATAGTACTTTTAATTAGTGATGTGGTCACAATATGAGATGCAGTCACAAAGTGTTTATTTAAATACAACCACAAAATGTTTATTTGAAGGTGTTCAAGAAGTTCAGTTGTTTACAGTGCACCAGTGAGATATTGTCTTTTAAGTGTCTTGAGTTTTTTAATAACAGATTATCAGTTGTTCATCTCGTCATGGTGACAAGGCTTTTCCTTCTGTTCAATTTTTCCTAGCCACATGCTTAATTAAAAAAATGTAAAAGAATTTAAAACTAGGAACTCTTCCCCAAGGTTCCAATATCTTAGGGGCTGCCACAAAGAAGAGGGAGTCAAGCTATTCTCCAAAGCGCCTGAGGGCAGGACAAGAAGCAATGGATGGAAACTAATCAAGGAGAGAAGCAACCTAGAACTAAGGAGAAATTTCGTGACAGTTAGAACAATTAACCAGTGGAACAACCTGCCTCCAGAAACTGTGAATTCTCCAACACTGGAAGTTTTTCAGAAGAGATTGGATAATCATTAGTCTGAAATGGTATAGGATTTCCTGCCTGAGCAGGGGGTTGGACTAGAAGACCTCCAAGGTCCCTTCTATTCTATTCTATTCTATTCTATTCTATTCTATTCTATTCTATTCATGTTTTTCTGTGCATGCTTTGTAATAGTTGTAATAGTTCCACTGTCATCCCCATCCTCCAAGATGTATAGTCCACAGATCGGGAACCAGAGAGCTAGTGTGGTCTAATGGTTAAGGCACCAGACTGGAAACCAGGAGACTGTGAGTTGTAGTTCCATCTTAATCAAGAAAGTCTGCTGGGTGATCCTGGGCCAGTCACTCTTTCTCAGTCCAACCCACCTCATATGGCTTTTGCTGTAGAGGAAGTAGGAGGAGGAAGGAGTATTAGGTATGTTTGTCATTTTGAGTTACTTATAAAATAACAAGGGTGGGATAACATAAATAAATAAATAAGTAAAAACCACTGCTGTTCTAATTCCTGTATCTTGCTGTGTGATTTTTTTCCCCACTTATGGGTTCTCCTGCACAAGAATGACTGCTCCTTGCTTAAGGAAGGCTTTTGAGACAGGAAGCTTGAATGCCTTAAGCTTTTTCTTGCTTTACCAAGGTTTTAACATCTTTATTCTATTGTTACTTTTTTAGTGTTCCAGAAGAAAGTCCTGGAAAAAGTCTTTCCTGCTCCTGTACTTCCCGATGTCGTTTCTTCAAGCGTAGAGAGCACTGCTCTTCTGAAGGGTGCACTTGCAACTCAGGAAGACCCAAAAAAGGAGACAGCTTTGGAAAAAGATTCTAGGGTGCAAGGTAATACTTGCTTGTGTGTATTTGCAGGTGGGTGTGGGTGTACATACACATGTTTGTGCTCATGATCATTAAACCTAACCAGTTCCATTTTGCTTTACTGTGATATCAAAATCCAATCAATGTCGACAAGGTTGACTTGATGCAACAGGATCTGTGAAAGATACAGGTCACTCCAAACTGTTTTGACTCTGGGGATGCTGGCAGCTTCTCTGCTGGGCTGCTGGCTGCCAGCTTCAGATGTTCTGCCAGCCAAACCATTGTACATCTGCCCAATCTCCCACAACTTTGGCATTGTTTTACACACACGTCCAGTGGTCTAGATCTCAGGACACATATCAAGCACTAAAACTAAGGGGAAGAGACAGGAAGACATACCAGGATTTGCTGATAGGAGAAAAATAGAATTAAATAATCCTGGCAATAAATAACCAAGGATGGGGTGGGGCACGTGGGTAGTAGCCTTAGCTTGCATCTAGCAGCTGGGCCAGCATTTTCCTCTAAACTTACTCCATATTGAACTGCAGACTGACCATTTGGCAAGGTTTGTGCTGGCAGAAACTGGAAAGCCACTTTAAAAGTGGAGCAGATAGAGGCACCATCCTGCTGGGCCAGAGTCACACTAAGGACAACAACATGCATTCATGTCAGCAAGTAGTAATTGGCCATCTATGCCACAGCAAACAGGGTGTCTGAATAAGCCCTGTATCTTTATAATCCAAAAAGGATTTTGGATGAACTCAGAATGATATATTTGGGATTTAATTGCTTCTTTGCTGCAAAGCTACACTTCTTCTTCTTGTGCCATATCCGTTATCAGACGTTGGCAATCATGTTGGCGATCCTGTTTTTATCAGCAGCCGCACAAATACCCAAAATCATTTATACTAGAGCTCTCGGCTTCAGGTGCATCAGTGTGAGGACTGCGATTGATTATTTTTGCCTTTTAGGTTGGATCTGAATATTGAATTACTATTAGTCATAGTTTTAAAACCGTAATGCTTCTCTGAAGGAATAACAGCTATCTAGCATTTTTTTCAACATAAAATATTAGCAAGGCAAAAAAAACTTCAGAAGCTAAAAACATATCATAAATATTCAGCCAGCAGGTGTAAAACAAAAGTCACCTTTGATAATTTGCCACTGAAACAGCAACACACCTGTGAATTATAAACTATTATCTTTGAAATACTGACAGATGGACACTTGGGAATTACACTTTAGTATTCAGCTGAAAAGAAGAGCGGATGCAGATTGGTTGAACTTGTTTTACATTCAAAACAACCATGCAGTGAATTATGATTCTTCCTGGAACATACTTCCTTAAAAATTCCTTCACTTATGAAAATCATGCATGCTGTTGCCCTGAAGTATCATCTGGCCTTTTCAAATTGGACACAGTGCTTGATATTACAATCTTGAGAGCATGATGCAATCAAGCATTCTAATCAGATTCACGTTTATATGAATGGTTTCCACATTAGCATCCCATGTAAGTAGTCCTTGGTTAGTCCTCCCTTCCATCCAGGACAAAGCACATAAGCGTTGCTTGAGCAGGGTCCGCAAGATTGTCTGGGACACTACACATGCTCTTCACAACCTATTTTCCTTGTTACCTTCTGGGAGGAGGCTCCGTAGTATCCAAAGCAGAATATCCAGATTCAGTCACAGTTTTGTTCCATACAGTGTTAACTTCGTGAACTCTAAAGCTTCCTCCTTCCGTTATGTATTCAAGATGGACAGTGATTAATATTAATATGTTGCTTATATGTAAGGGTGTAGGTCTATACATATGTTGTATATAGTATGTTTAAATGTGTGTTATGTATGCGTACACTTGGAGAGCAAGCAACTAAATTTCATTTTTAATGTGTGCCGTTGTGCCCACAGGAAAAAATAACAATAAAAGTTATCTAATCTAATCTAATCTAATCTAGTGACTGTTTGCAGTTATCGTTCCAGTTACCGTTCACAATTATGATGATGAAAAAGTAATTTCATGAGCATATTTATAATCTTCACAGGTCTGTAAAGCAAAGGAAAGCTGAAGTATGAATATAAGCATGGTCATGGTTTCACATAGCAACCTCTTTGCTTAATGACCCAGTTGTAGTTGCTAGGAAGCATTTTCAAAAGAGATAAAATTGCATGACTCTTGACATGAGCCCAAAGAATATACAACTTATTTTATGCTACGTGGCCCTCCTAAGTAATAAAAATGCTTTTCTTTTTTAAAAAAAGTATTCACTGTTCATATTATCCTAATAAGATGGACTATTTTGCATCTATGTATATATCATTTGATATTAGGGGCGCATGTCTCTTTGGACATAAAGTTCACTGCAATCCCACAAAAGATGCATTTAGTTTAAGGAGTTGCAGACAGGTGATTCTCTGTGTGTTCCTAAATATCTTTTTGCCTTGGAACGCGAAGTGTTTCATTGCTCTGCTTGATTTATCAGTATAAGACAGCTTTCTTCAAATCCAAGATGCGTCCAGCTATGCTGCTTTTGGAATCTGGGGATTTCTAGTTCCAAACAGGGAATTAATTCATTCCAACACTTGAAGGTTTTAAGAAGAAATTGGACAACCATTTGTCTAAAATGATATAGGGTTTCCTGCCTGAGCAGGGGGTTGGACTAGATGACCTCCAAGGTCCCTTCCAACTCTATTACTGTTATCATCATCATCATATCAAAATTAGTTAAATAAAATTAAGTCCATAGATTTAAAGAGGCTGCTGTATATTTAATTCATTGCTTATCATTTTATCATAATACTTTATAATCAAGTATTGTAATTCTTTTTAACTACAAAACATTGAGTTTTGCTTATTCCTGATGATTTCATGGACATATCTATGAAGTGTTTTTGACAGCATCAAAGTGTGGGATCTTCTTTAGGTTATATAAATAATATAGGTTATATAAATTGAAGTCTTTCCTTGATTCCTAAAGCTGCAAGGCCTATAGCAAATAGTTTATTGACAAGGACCTAGCAAGATTTATTTAAGTAGATTGGAGAGCAAAGGAATGAACAGCCTGTAGCCCTACAATTATATAATCATTACATCAGGAATAGATTTGAGAACATTGTTGGGAGCCAGAAATCGTGCATATTCAACATCGAAAAGGAGCATACTTACTATAAAATCTGAAATCTGCCGCATATGAATAGCTAGAAGAATCATAATATATTACTAGATAATAATAAGGCCAAAAAAGTGCATTAACAGATGGATAGAATCAAGACCACATGAAGCGTTAATACCACTTTACAATGGCTTGGTAAGGCCACACTTGGAATACTGCATCCAGTTTTGGTCACTGCGATGTAAAAAAGATGTTGAGACTCTAGAAAGAGTACAGAGAAGATGATTAGGGGACTGGAGGCTAAAACATACAAGAACGGCTGCTGGAATTGGGTATGTCTAGTTTAATGAAGAGAAGGATGAGGGGAGACATGTTAGCAGTGTTCCAATATCTCGGGGGCTGCCACAAAGAAGAGGGAGTCAAGCTATTTTCCAAAGCGCCTGAAGGTAGGACAAGAAGCAATGGATGGAAACTAGTCAAGGAGAGAAGCAACCTAGAACTAAGGAAAAACTTCCTGACAGTTAGAACAATTAACCAGTGGAACAACCTGCCTCCAGAAGCGGTGAATGTTCCAACACTGGAAAGCTTTAAGAGGAGACTGGACAGCTATTTGTCCGAAATGGTATAGGGTTTCCTCCCTGAGCAGGGGGTTGAACTAGATGACCTCCAAGGTCCCTTCCAACTTTATTATTATTATTATGGATCATCGCACAGTCAGCCAGATGTTCAGACTGGATTTGGCATTTTGTCTATCTATCGAGTCCTTACCCAGGACCTGGGATAGGCAGATGTGGATGTTTGATGGTATTACAGGTATCGTCGCAGGATGGAAGCAGTTCCTAGTAAGGCCGCCTTTTGCAATTGACTAATAGCGAATTTGTCAATGCCAATGGTGTTCAAGTGGTGCTCCAGTTGTTTTGGGATTGCACCCAAGGAGCCTATCACTATTGGTACTACCCTTGCTTGCTTTTGCCACTGTCTTTCTATTTCTATTTGTAGGTCTTTGTATTTTGTTATCTTCTCCAGTTCTTTCTCGTCTGTTCTGCTATCTCCAGGCACTGCCACGTCCACTATCCAGACTTTTTTGTCTTTCTTATCGACAATTGTTAAGTCTGGGGTGTTATGTTGCAGGTGCTTGTCTGTTTGAATTCTGAAGTCGCAGAGCAGTTTAATTTTATCATTTTTCTATGACTTTCTCTATTTTATGATCCCACCAGTTTTTGCTTACAGGCAAATGATATTTTTTGCAGATCTTCCAATGCACCATTGTTGCTACTTTGTCATGCCGCTGCTTGTAGTCAGTCTGTGCGATCTTCTTGCAACAGCTTACCAGGTGGTCCACTGTTTCTTCAGCTTCTTTGCATAGGCGGCACTTACTGTCTGTTGCTGTCTTCTCAATTTTGACTTTATATGCATTTGTCCTTAAGGCTTGGTCTTGTGCAGCCAGAATTAGTCCCTCGGTCTCTTTCTTCAATTTTCCTGCTCTTAGCCATTGCCAGGTCTTGTTATTATCTGCTTTCCCAGCTATTTTTTTAATGTATTGGCCATGTAGTGCTTTGTCTTCCCATGCCTCTATTCTGTTCTTCATTTGGTCTTTCTTGTAGGCAAGTTTGGTCTCTCCAGTAAGCCTTCCTGATATACTAATTTCAGTGCATCTTCATCATTGTTCTTCAGATATTCTTCCAAAGCCATTTTTTCTTCTTCAACCATCTGATGTACTTGTAGCATTCCACGCCCACCTATTTGCCTTGGTAGATAAAGTCTATCAATGTCACTGCGTGGATGAAGGGCATGATTCATTGTCATTATTTTTCTGGTCTGCCTATCCATTGCTTTTAGTTCTGCTTGAGTCCAGTCCACTATTCCAGCTGTGTACCTAATGACTGGGATTGCCCAGGTGTTGATTGCCTT